CATTAATATCCTACTTCTGCAGGATGCAGAACTGGGTGTTCATCAAATAGAACAGCGGTGTCAAACTCACATCACGTGGTCGTCACGTGATATATCAGGACTTTTTCCCCCTTTGCTAAACTGGGTGTGGGCGTGGCCAGCACGTCCCGCCTCTGGCCCACAGGGCGGGGAGTTTGACAGCCCTAAAATAGAAGAAAGCTCGTTTACACGGAGAACAATACATCAGGTCCAAGAATGCAGGTGATTAATTCCATCACTTCTCCATTTAGAATTTAGAATTCTTTATTGGCCAAGTGTGATTAAACACACAAGGAATTTCTCAGTGCGTAAGCTCTCAGTGTACATGCAAACACGAATTGATAAATAATGATCATAATCATAAATACAATCATCATAAATCATAATATAAATACTCAGTGGTAGTCATAGGATACTCAATAAGCAATCATAAATCATAATAGGATACTAAATAAAATCAATCAACATAAGTCATATGATACAAACAACAAAGTTATAGTCATAAGATGCTAAAGGAATAGGTAATACAAGAGATGAGAAGGTTAATAGTAATACAGTCCTACTACATAGTTTGACATCCTAGGGCATGTGCTGTAGAACGATGGCATGGGGAAAAATTGTCCTTGTGTCTAGTTGCAATGCCCAGTAATGTTGTCTTGAGGGAAGAAGTTGAAAAAGTTTATGTCCAGGATGTGAGGAATCTGTAGATATTTTCAGAGCCCTCTTTCTGGCTTCTGCAGTGTACGGGTCCTCAGTAGAAGGCAGGCTGGTTGCAACAAATGGCAGACACAATAATTCTCTGCAGAACTTTATCAGTAGCTCCTTGGGCAGTCTAAGCTTCCTGAGTTGGTGCAGGAGGAACATTCTTTGTTGTCCTTCTTTGATGACTTTTTTTTTTGTAAATTTTATTTGAGTTTTCACAAAGAAAAAAAAATACAAACAAAACATCTTTTTTGAAAGGAGCGTAATCCCAGGTTACATTTCTTCGTACAGACACAAATTCAACTTCATGCTCATTTTTATGTTCTATTCCATATCTTATTACTGTTTTACATTTTCTGCATAGCTTCTCCCCTCTTTTAATTTTCTCAATTTTATTTTAATTATCTCATCTCAATTCAAATCATTATATTTATATTTTTTTGTCTGTCCTGTTTCAATTATCTATTATCTTTTCTCATTAAACAAAATTTCTCCTGTAGTTACTGATTGGAGTATGACACCTTTATATCTTTTAAGTTTATCCATTTAACTCTTATTTACGCTCCAATATATACCCTAAAGTTATAACATTCAATATAATACATAACTTCCATTCGGATTCTGCTTGCTACATTCTTAAAATATACACTATATTCTTAAAAAAAGAAAAAATTATAAATGTATGTAATTAAAACAACACATTCCATTCCAATTCAATTCTATCATTAATATTAATATTCATTAAAATCTTAACTTCTTTAACATTACTTTTCAATTAAATATCATACTTCTATGGGAACAATTATAAGCTTTCCATAATTAATTCCCCCCCTTCACTTATATTTTATAAAACATTAACTAAATAAAATGTTCCGGTTCCTTCCTAATTCAATTTTCTCATTTATTTTATTTCACTTATTTTATTAACTAACTTTTCACTAAATTACACTATTTTATCCCTCATGTTAATCATACATTGTTTCCAATTTTCTAAAGTTATTTCTATTACTAATATAACAATACAATTTTATGTACCTTTACAGAATCCCTTTTTCAGTTACATTTTCACCATTATCTCTAAATAGGCCCTATTTCTCTATATCTTGCTCCGGTCCTTTGTAACTTCTTTTCCTTTCCTTCTTCCCTCTCTTCTTCTCTCTCCCCTTTTTACCCCCTTGTCTCTCTACCTCTATTTCTCTCTTCTGTATTCCCCTTTTCTGTTGTTTTCCAGTGTTATACTTATTTTTTGAATTATTTTTCTTTTCTTTGGTTGTTTTTTTAAGTCTTAAATTCTCCATTCTCTTTCCCCCCTTTCCTTTTTCTTCCCCACATAAAATTGCTTGTTCATTAAAGATGGCTTCTTCTTTGTCCCAGTCTTCTTGTTTTGCAGATGTTTCTTGTTGTTTCTCATAGTTCCAAATCTCCATTTCTAAGAATTGAAAAACGAAGCCAAAAGAACCCTTCCCTTCTTGTGCATCTTCTTTGTACTTTTTAAGTTCCATTTTCAATTCATCCAGAAGTGGTGCCATTGTATAAATTTTTAAACAACCACCCGATTGATTTTAGTCATTCAAATATAATAACCAAGAATCCAAAGATCACCAAATAATCCAAATACACACAAGCTGTTTCTTTTTTGCTCTTTTTTTTCACTTTCTCTTCCTGGGGTTACTGTTTAGTTGCAAAGTTACAGTTAAAATGTATCTTTTAGAAGTCTTGTTGAAGTTTTACTGTAGATTCTTTTTAATTCCAGGCAGTCTCTCCCTCTTCCAGATCCTGCCCTTATTCTTTTTCTCTCCCTTCCTGCTTATGAAAAAAAAAAATAGTGTCCAGAAATCTTTATTATCCCTTTGACATTTTGTTTTATTTTCAGCTTAATTGCCTGTTGATGTAAAAGCGGATTTTTTTTTCTTATTTAAGTCTCTTAGTTGTCAGTATAGGGAAGGAGAGAGAAGAAAAAAAAAGCCAAACCTTTTCCTTTTCACTTTCTTTCGCTGCTTCCGACTCTTCTTGGGAGTGATGTTATTTTTTTGTAAGTTTAAATTCCAGGGTACCTTAGTTGTTGCTTTTACAATTTAATCCGGTCAGCCAAAACTTTCACTTCTTATCTTTCTCCTGCACATTCTTTTCCGGTCGAGTTCTTCTTTGAGGTGGCCATTTCTGACCACCGCTGCACCCGCCTTCGGGAAAAGGAGTAATGGCCAGCTGAGGAGGAGAGATGTGGCTCTCCTCGACCCTGCAGGCAGTCTCCCCCCTCTTCACCACCTCTACGGGATGGCTTAGCCCCGAAACCAGCCGGCTCGGGGTGCTCCAGCAGCGAGCCCAGACCAAAACTGCGCACGATCACGGATTTCTGTCTGTCGCCGAAGAGATTTCAAACCGGATAGCCTTCTTTGATGACTTTTTCATGTTTGTGTCCATTTCAAGTCCTGAGTTATTACAGAACCCAGAAACTTGAAAGTCTCTACTGTTGATACTATTGTCTAGTATGGTAAGAGATGGTAGAATAGGAGAACCTCTCCTAAAATCTACCTTCATCTCTACAGTTTTGAATGTGTTCAGTTCAAGATTGTTCCAGCTGGACCACAGGGCCAGTTGTACAACTTGTCGTCTCTATGCAGATTCATCATAATTTTCAATGAGACCACTGACTGTATCATCTCTAGGTTGCCTTTTTGGCACAACATAGTTGTTCTGTTTAGCTGCGACCTAAGATTTGTTATTGTATGTATGCTGGCTTCTGGTCGGCACCCATAGGTCTTCACAAAAACTGATATTACCTATTGCAAATGTGTTATAAAAAATAAATCGTTCATTGTCACTTTAAAAAAAAATCAGTGCACCAGTCTTTTAAATAATGGTAACTTTTATGAAATTATTAAGACTAACTGAAAAATAGCCTTTCATCCTTGTCATATTGAGTACAAGTTCTTGGAAATTCTGTATTGAAACTTCTATGAATTTGCTTAACAGTTATCCTCCATTTGTTACTACATCTCCACCTCTAAGTCTCCACTCTAAAATCATCACATTGCTTGAAGGGCTTTTATAAGTGCAGTAATAAGTGTGTGTGAGTGAGAATAATTCCTCTACTTCTACTGCATCAGCCTAAGAGAGGGAAAAGTCTAGTCCAGTGGTGGCTAACCTTTTTGGGCTCCTGTGCCAAAAATTGTGCCCGCGCTCACGCTCTTGTGCTTGCATGCCAGCACCCAGAAAACAATGCATGCATCCCCCCCCACATCCCCTGAGCATGCACGTGCAGTCCTGCCTGTCCCCCCGTGCCCCCACTGTCCCCTTACCTACACTGCCCCTCCCAGCTGATTTTCAGCCCCGTTTGAGGCCTTTATCAGCCTCCCAGAGGCTTGAAGCCTTTGCAGGCTGAAAAATGGACCCATTTTGTCACTTCCGGTATTTCTGGAAATGCTGGAAGTGATGAAACGGACCTGTTTTTTGGCCTGCAAAGGCTTTCCTCAAGCCTCTGGGAGACTGAAAAAGGCCGCAAACAGGCCAAAAATCAGCTGGGAGGCACACGCATGCACAGTGAAATAAGTTTGCCCGTGGTTCGCGTGCCAGCACAAATGGCTCTGTGCCATAGGTTCATGGGCTTAGGATCTTACATTCCAGTCGGGATTTGTAGAGTAGAGGTCCTGTCCTAGATTTCCCATCAGTTGGAACATATCCAACATTCAAGGTTGGCTTAATCCTCTTCTTTCCTATCTGTGGAACATCTCATATTGTTGGTTCTTGCTGTTGGTCACTGTTGGTTGTAGGTTTATATGTATCACTGGATCACTGTTGGTTGTAGGTTTATATGTATGAAGCTTTTCCCTGGTATTATATAAAATGAAATAGAATTAGCATGGATGAAACACAGAACTATAGAAATAAAATAGCCATTTAAACTAAATTTATTTGGAACTACCCAATAATCCATAGCTTGTTAGATTTCTTTTTTTGTCTCCTTCCTCCTGTGTTGAATTCAAATTCTACCCAAAAGATACATCTTTCTTATGATCATTTACTATTCCCTTCAGTGCTTCCCATTTAAATTTTAGAATATCTATTATTTCATTTGTCCACATTCCTTGTCATGTTTCCACCCATTCTTCTTTTGCCTGTTTTATATAGGAAATCTAATATGCCACATAGAACTGTATAAATTATAACAAATATTTTATCCCAAAATATGCTTCAATATTAAGTTTACATTCTGTAAATGTGAGTGGCAGTAGACATAGCTTAAAAAGCCGAATAATGACGTGTTTTCCCATCCGATTTAGATATTTGAATGGTGGTATTTTCGAAAGTATGGAACATCCTTCATCGAGCAAGTCTCTGTGAGTCACTTGCGCCCTCTGCTGGGTGGGGTGGACAACAATTCTCCCAGTAACTCAAATGCAACCAATGGGGACTCAGATTCAAACAGACAGAGTGTTTCAGGTAAAAATAATAATAATTTAATCATAATTACTATGTAATTACAATGTACAAATTATGAATAATTCATTTAAATGACTTTTATATTAAAAGTCCTTTCTGCAGATTGGGCAAATCACCGCTTATTTTTTAAATCATTTATAAAGTTTGATATATTGGGGAAACCTTAGTTTTTTTTTCTGATAACTGATTTATTCACTTCTGCAAATACTAATCAGCCTTGATGAGAGATCCCAAGATAATCCCAGGATTGCAGACTCTGCCAGAAAGTTTTAAAAATTGTTTTATTTTTATCTTGGAAATGGCAAACCACTGCTATAGTTATTCCCAAGGAAACTATATTTCTCTGTACTCTCTAGGTGTCTAGCTGGATTCTAAAGAGTATTTTATATATTTTCTACTTTCTTGCATAGCTTTACTGTTCACTGTGTCAGAAAAAAAAAACTAGGGAACTATTTTGATAAATGGAAGACTGGAATCTCCAAATTGGCTCCCAGGTCATATAGCCTTCTCTGCCTTTATTTCTCTATTTTCCTGTCAATGTGACATTATTTAACAGAGCCAGTTTGATCTAACTAGAAATCCAGAGACTGTGAGTTCAAGTTCTGTCTTAGTGATGAAATCTGTCTAGATGTCTTTGGACCAGTCATTCTCTCTCAGCCCAACCCACAACATAGGGTGGTTTTGTGGGGCAAATAGGTTGAGGAAGATTTGTTGGCTATCTTTGCTGCCTTGATTTATTCATAAAAATACAAATAAATAAATAATCTGGACCTGGTCTCTTACTTTACTTATTATGTAACAGCAGAGGGAGATTTTAAAAAGCTGACTATTGTATTATTCTACTGATCTACTGATCTAGTAGTTGGTGTAACTTTGCTGAAGTAGGCCCACAGGGACTAGAGAAAATACCTCAACAATTCTGATTTTAACCTCACATGTGAATCTACTTGCTGCTTGCTTTAATGCCTACAGGATGAATTGTGGCAATGGACTACAGTTGGCAAATGGCTAATCTAGAATGAAATAATTTACAATATAAAAGTTGTCACTGAAATACCTTTCAAAAGACAATTCTTTTCATTCAGTTACTTTATTCCAGCCATACCCAGGGACATTATCGATGCAATGTTTTATTTACAAATCACCTTTTTATTTTCATCTAAAACATGGGAATCATTCTGAAATATATTCTGCTTGCTTTTTAAACAAATATTTATTGAAAGGGTGTATTTTACTAGATGAGTTTTGATGTAGTAATAATTTTACAGTATTGGATAGCATTCATCTTCATTTGTTCCTGTATATACCAATAATTCATGAAATCAAAGAAGTGGTTATAATTCTTATTAAATATAATGTGTTTATAAGCCCTTAAATTGCCCAATAATGTAAATACATTGAAGTATTTCGACTGTACTACCTGGGATAACTAATTAGAATATAATTTGTTTCCAAATAAATATTATCATTCAGTTATAATTAGAGGCATTTTTGTTTTTGTGACAGAATGTAAAGTCTGGCGAAATCCCCTAAATCTGTTTAGAGGAGCTGAATATAACCGGTGAGTGCTATGTAGATTTATTATTCAAATATGTTAGCATGTTTGGAAAGTATTTTTAAACACTGGTTACATCTGCTAGTATATTTAGTAAGTATTGTAAGCATTACCTCATTGTCATTGTAAACTTCAAGAAGTCAGGTGCCTCTTTCAGTTGTTTATCATATGCAAATAGTTCAAATAAGGATAAATGGTCTTTGGATCCAATCTCTTTTACTCTGTCCTTATGTTGGTGGATGAACACTTGATGTTACCCTGCATAGATACAAATACCCTGCATAGTTTAGATTTAAGTTTTAAAAAATATATAGGACAAGAAGGCAGACATTTCTACTTCAACATATCAAGAATAGCAGTGCTAAAGTACACAAATCTGTTGAGGTTAGTCTTCCAGATAGTTTTAAACTTAAGGATGATGAATGCCTGATTTAGACTACCATTTCATTCAAGCAGTGTTAATGTGTAAATTTCTTTTAGTACCTCTATTAATCTAGATCAAAAATCTCACTAACGACAATGCTTTATTTTTTCTACATTTATATTGTAGTTTTTCTTAAGCACCCAATGCAATTTGCAGAGTTATCTATCGTTCTAATACTCACTGTAACAACTCTATAAGCTAGGTCAGACTAAGGCTAAGCTCAAAGTCACCAATGAGCTTTGTGATTGAATGGGAATTTGAATTTGAGTACTTCAAGCACTGAGCCATCTTGGCTCCATCTCCTCCCAAATCGGAAGCCTCAAGATAAAAGGGGAAAAGCTGAAAATCATATAGTGATGTATAGAGTAGCTTTCTTAAGATAATCAAAACAGATATTGTAGAACTGACATACAGCACATCCAGGACTATTTTAAACCAATTAAGCCAGCTTTCAAGATTATTTTAAATTCAGTTTAATAAATGTGCCAGTACAGATCAACTATAACACCATGGGACAATACTTTATTAACTTTTCAATTTTTCCTCAACTTAAAGCAATGGACATTATTTACAAAAATATTTTTAGTACCACGGTTGGATTTGTAGATGGAGGTTACTGTATTAAGGAGGATGAAGGATGTGTGTGGATGCATTTTTATCCAAAAGAAAAAGCAACATAAGGAAAATCACCACGTTATGAATGTATGATGTTTATTTCTACAATTTCTCATCCTGCACATCTGTCCTGAATGCACAAAACGCAACTCTATTTGCAGATACACCTGGGTGACTGGAAGAGAACCATTGACATATTACGATATGAATCTTTCAGCACAAGATCATCAAACGTTTTTCACATGTGATACTGACCATTTAAGGCCTGCAGATGCCAGTAAGAATTTTAGTAAATTTATTCAAATTCATAGCAAATTGTAAAGCCTGCTTTAAGAAATTGGGGAAAAAAGATATCACAAGTATCTTGATTCTTAATAATGCTTGTGTTTCACTTAATCATTTTTATTAATATATTTATATAGTATTTCCTGATACGGTCATTTGGAATTTGAATTATGTGGCTATCTGTATTTCCAAATACTGTTTCCCTTGAAACTTTGCTATAGAATAGCACTCATTGTTGTATTGTGTTATCATCATTGGTTCTGGAAACTTCGTGTTATTGTTTAAAGAGAGCAGGGTTTTTCCCACTCAGAATAGACAAAAATGCCTTACATGGTTGCTAAAGCACCAAAGGACCAGCATTTTATTGGTTGTTCAGGTTCCACTTAATTACATTAATAGTTTACATAGTTGTTTTATAGTAAAATATTGTTAGCACATTTGTACATAATGCATTGCTAACTTTAACTAATAATTATAAGTTCATTCTTCTTGAAACATACTGAAAGAATATCTCTTATATCATCAGTACCTGATTATATTTTTGGACTTAGTGAATTATTTGTGTGGTGAAATGCCCTGCTAATGTGTTAATCTAGATAAGCCTAGCATTACCTCCAAATTACTGCATTTTAAAAAAATGTTTCATTTCACAGTAATGCAAAAGGCTTGGAGAGAAAGAAACCCACAAGCCAGAATTTCTGCAGCGCATGAAGCTTTAGAGTTAAATGAGTAAGTGTACGAGAATTCATTTGATTTTTATTTATTTATTTGCTTTGCTATAATCTTGTGCCAGTTTCTTGTCATCGGGAAAGTCCTGTACAAACTGAGGAAACTGTGAAAAAGTACTCTTTGTTCAATTAGCACTTGAGCAATGAATCTATACCTGTATATTTGTTGAAGCTGTATTTGCGTGATATTTTCTCTTCTTTTTTTAATTAAGAAGAGGATGAATTGGAGTTGATGCAGGAGAAATATTTCTTTCATACTAATAATGATAGACATGGATTGATGTATTTTCTGAGCATTTAAGAGATGGTATTTCTGTGATGTATTGCCATCTACTTATTTCAGACATGATGTATAAATCTTACTGTACTTGAATGCCCCGTTTATTTTTTTGCCAAAAAAGACATTGGCCTTTGTTTGCCTGTTGGGCTTTCTATCTTAGTTGTTCCTTCGATTTTATTTATTCAGCCATTGTTGTATACACTATGGTTCGAAACAAAACCAGCCATGTCACTAGTTGAAACATATGGAATTTGGTATTTGCACAGTTCTATCCAACTGCAACCTGAATTTTAAATGATAGTTTACTGCCCACATCCATAGTTTCAAGGATGGGATAGCTTTGGACTTGCAGAATTGTGCACATGCACAGTTGTACTCCGTTGAAGTGAATAAGGTTGTTTATAGGTCTGAAAATAAGTTGCAGACTTTTCCATGCCTGCAGCCAGTTGCTGGATTGAGGCATACATTTTACCTAAGGGAATTAAGCATGCCCCAGCCACTTATCCACCTGCTGTGTCCTAAAAAAAAGGTTTATTATTTTTCTAGCTCTCTTTGTGATGATTACTTTGTCATTTCATTGACAGGTGTGCCACTGCTTATATTCTCTTGGCAGAAGAGGAAGCAACAACTATTGTGGAAGCAGAAAAACTGTTTAAACAGGCCCTGAAAGCAGGTGAAGGCTGCTACAGGCGTAGCCAACAATTACAGCACCATGGTACCCAATATGAAGCTCAGCACAGTAAGACCCTTTCCTTCAGCTACCAATGCTCTAAATCAGAAGATCTCTGTAAGACCTTTAGTGACTCACAGGGTCACTTCATTAGATGCTTGGAATGGCTAAACTGATGTAGGATTTAAATTAGGTTGAGGCACTAGGAAAAGATAGAAGAAGACAGGATAGTTACCTTTCATTCAGTGTCTCATCCTGATTTAAATCCTGCATCTGTTTAGTCACTCCATGTGCATGCATGATGAAGGGAGCTATAGTTCAGAAAAGCTTATGCCTTTTAATAAACATATTAGTCTGAAAAGATGCTGCCACACTACTCTTAATTTTTGGCTATTATAGACTAATATAGCTGTCTTCCTACAATACTGTAGGGATCTCTGAGAAACAAGTTTCTTGCAATTGACTAAGAATAATTTGACTACAGAGAAATACTATGGCTCAAATATTGAATTCTATTTATTATAAAAACTGAATAGTGCAGTGGTTCTGTTAAAAAACTGTGAAATTCAGTAATATATGTAAATAATTGGAAAAACTGGAAAGAAAGAAAAAAAATGCAAAAAATGTAATGGGAGAAATAATTCTAGGGAGTAAATCTTCAGATAGCTCAAAAGAATACATTTTTGTCTTCTTAAGTACTTATTAGGTTATTGGAGAAAGTAATCCATAGTTTTCACTTACAGTCATCTGCATACAGGAAAGATGAATTAAAAATGGAATAAGGGCAAGGCGTTAATTGGTTTAATCACAAAAATGTAATGTGTCATGCAAAAAAAGAATCTGGAAGAATTTGGTAGTTTAATTTGTAAAATAAAAACAAGTGGATCATATTTAGAGACTTCTTTTACATTTGCTTTTTCTTTTTGGTGTTTTTTTTAAAAATCCTTTTCATCTCACATTTTCCAAAATATGTTTAGTGACATTGTTTTGTGGTGTGTGTATGTACGAGTATTATACAAGCTTTCAACCCAATCAATGTGCTGGAGTTCCCATGCTTTTTTCCTCAAAATGGGTGAATGCAAGTAATTAGTAGTATGTCTATTAAACTGAGAATTATATGTTGCAGAATGGCATTGTTGTTAGGGAGCATTTGTTATGACTGAATCATTAACATAAAATTAAAATTTGCCTGGTTTTTGGTCTGCATGTTGATATTACTGGAGAAATGGTAGAAAGACTATAGCTTGAGAACATAGACGGTGCTTATAAGAAGCAAATTAGCTAATGAGTGAAATTTCTAGTGAATGAAATTAATTATCTAATAAATATTTTCAAATCCTAAAAGAACAGCACCATTTTATAGAGTCTGAGAACGTAGGTTTTGGTCAAGAGCTCTTAGAGGGATGATATTATATGATAATAGATTTTCTGCACAGAAATGATTTTTCTAAAAAACAGAGAACTTGCAATCTCTTTATAGTGCATAATATAGAAGGATATAATTGTCAGATATAATCAAAAATAAAATCAAAGGTTGCCATTATAGAATTGGCAAGACTTGTCCTTACCTGGTTTTTCATTGTTTATATTAGGGACAGCAACAATTAGTTCACTTTCTGATACCTTAAATGTCATAATTCTTACCAGCATAACAAATAACAGATAATAGAAATTGCACTCTAGCAATATTCAGGTTGTCTTTTCCCACTAATCTAAATTACCTATCTTTAAAAAAATAATAATAAAAAATAAGACAGAAGGTGTCCTCTGAAAATCTCCAGAATTGAAACAAAGACATAAATTAAAACATAACTGGTCAGAATCTGTACTCCCATAGTATGTGTAAAGCTCTTGGTAAATACATTCAGTGATCTAGATTGTATCTTTCTAGCCCAATCTGTGTGTTGCAGTCTTCAGTAATATGATGATATGAATGATTCTTCTACTTGTTTACTGCATATACCAAGGTTTTTTTCTTTTAAAAAAATTAAGATAACATGCCAAATATTATTGATATCACTGAAATTTTTATTTAATGTTTCAGTTCACTGATACACAACACATTATAGCCATATTTACCTGGATGGTTTTACCATTTTAAAGATGAATGTTTTGTAGTAATACCAGCATATGCTTCTCAAAAAATTCTATGGTTTCTTAAAGTCACCCCTGACTTAACAGCATATTAAAGTTTGTCACATAGTTAATCAGATGTTTTGATTGCATTTGGCATTTTTATTTACTTGTCAAATCCTTTCCAAGGATCTGAGATAGGATTATTATTCGTTATTTAAGATAGGTGGTCTTCAAACTTGACAGCTTTAAGACTTGTGGACTTCAACTCCCAGAATTCCTCCTCCAGTCAGGTTAGCTCAGAAATTCTGGCCATTGAGGTCTACAAGTCTCAAACTTGCCAAGTTTGAATACCCTTGACTTAAAATTTAATCTCCAATTCGATTCACAGTCTGGGACTGGTAAAAACTTAACAGTTGAAGTCCTAACCAGGGATCTAAGTGCTGTTAAGGTAATGTCTGACTATATAGGCAGTTATTCAGGGTATTCAGGTCCAATTTCCATATATCTAGCTAACCCTTTGGGTATTGCTCCAAGGGTTCCTATTACTATCGGTACAACCATTGATTTCTTCCTCCATAGTTGCTCAACTTCAATTTTCAAATCACGATATTTTATTATTTTTGTCTAGCTGTTTGTCTTCAATTCATGCATCACTTCGTATTGCAATATCAATGAACCAGACTTTTTTTTTTCCACAATAGTGATGTCAGGCATGTTGGTGGGCCAGATGTCTGTCTGTTTTGATCAAAACTCCCACGGGGACTTGCTCATTTTCAAGAATTCTGTCAATTTGATATTTCCACTAATTTTTGGTGCATTCAAGCCCAAACTTCTGGCAAAGCTTCCAATGTATGATTTTGGCACCTTGACAATCAATTTTGCTGCAGCCAATTATTATTATTATTATTATTATTATTATTATTATTATTATTATTATTATTATTATT